GGAAGATCAATAATGTAAAAGGCAAGAGCGCAGATAAGAATTAATGTTGACGTTTTTTGACGTTTACTGTACTGTGGGCACGTTAAAGGCAAATGGTCATGTAGAAATTTTTTTTTGTTTTTTTTTTCTTTGTTTTTGTTTTTGTTTTTTTTTTTTTTTTTTTTGACAAATTTTTATTTAACTATCATTTTCATATTGGCTTCTGTATTTAACGATTCATTCAATAAATCTGTAACACAATTAAGTATTATATTATTATTTGGAATTCTCATTAAATTTGGGACAACTTCTCAGTTGCAAAATATCATGCTGTTCATTCTCGAATGAAATTTATAACTTTGCAGCGCATACCTCTATGTTATTACTTTACAAGAAACGCTTCAAATCATTTCTAAATGTAAACATGCGCGTGCGCACATACGCTCGCACATACCTACCCGTGCAAACTGTGTGCATAGAAATAAATTTATAGAAACCGAATTAAATTTATATTTAATAACAATTCATGTAGTTTAAAGTATAATAAAGAATAAAAAATTTGTATAATTAAGCATTTACTTTAATTTACAAATAATTCAATTCTCGAACATTAATCCGAACGAAACAGAAACAAAAAAATTTGATCGATTGAAAATTTTATGAATACCATACGATATACTTTATTAATAAAAAAAAATATATATATATATATATATTGTAAACATATTAAGAAAAATCTACTTTACCGATCGGTGTAAAATGCCTATGTCCATATTAATAAATATCGACGCCTCGTAACTGCATGATCGACACACGTTACCATTTTCTCGTATTAAAATCTTCCATATAATTTATTGGTCTCTTGGTAATATCAATCATTGGACTTTTAAGAGTAAATTATCAGAAAGATCGTAATAATAATGTTATCGATACAGTTGACATAATCTATTTATCAATCGTATAAGAAAACTCGTAGTGGAGTTAGCATGCATTTATAGCCTATAAATTAACACTTAAAGTATTTGTAATATCTATATGAAAATAAAATGCCCAACAGACACTTCCTATGATAATTAATTGATTAATTCGTAAAATTAATTGATATCGCTTTAGTAAGCTTATAATTAATTTTCTAAATAAAATATTATAAAATAAAATATAAAAATATAAAAAATATAAAATAAAATAAAATATGATAAAGCTTAAGAGGTATGCCTATTCAAATTTAAAATAATTTCCCGCTTCTTTATTTGGGACACAATTGTAATTCGAGTTTAAATTTATAATTTGTCACATAGCTCTTCGATACTCATGATTTTAAACGAGTAATCGTATAATCGTTAATCGAAGTCCTCTAAACGATGATGCAATATAAGCAACATTCTGCATGGAATAGCTGAACTTTAATTGATTGTCGCAATTGGAATGGTTAGATTTTAAGTTTAAAGTGAGACAGCGGGGCTATATGGGTACTAGGAATATTTCTTATGACTAATCTTATTGATCAAAGCATGAACTTGAAAAAATGTAAATCAATACAGGCACGTAATAGTTTCAACAATAATAATAATAATAATAATAATAATAATAATAATAATAATCAATAATTAATAATTAACAATAAATAATAATAATAAATAACAACAACAACAACAACAACAACAACAACAACAACAACAATAATATGAGGATGAAGAAAAAGAAGAAGAATGAGAAAGAAAAAATGATGATAATAATAATAATAATAATAATAATAATAATAATAAGACATTAAATGTAGCACGACTTTTAATTACTCGGTAGCTTGCAATTTTGAGACATTATAACCACAATGACTGTTAATATATTTAAATCTTTTTACGATATGACAATTTGATAATAATTATTTTTATCGTAAATAAGTGTCCTTTTTAATCGCTGTACTTAGATTTGAGGTAATATGTGTACGGAAAAAAAAAAAAAAAATATTAACGCAAAGTTAACTTTCTCAGCTCACTAGTAAATGTAATAAAAGATGTGCATTGGGTCGACTAAAGGAGTTGAAAATAATTCTACGAATAATTTTTATGCGTATTTATGAATATTATTTAATTATTAATAATTTAACCACTTTGTACAATTATTTCCAATTATAATAGCAAATGCCTCCTTATGGACATGGAGCTTCGTAGCATTGAATTTTATTATATCACCTACATATTACAAATAAACAAAATACGATATCACGTTATTCGCAATATTATTTAGTTAATTTTATCACCGCGCAATCTAATCTAGGAACCCAATGTAATTCTGTATGCTACAAATACTCGACGTGACTCGAACGAGAAAATCTTATTAATGACAAGTGTAACGTTCATATAAAAAGACGTTCGAACGCACGAACAAAGCTCACTCGATAACATTCGTAAATTGTTTTGCCGTCTCAACATTGTAATGAAACGATTGTTTTACCTTAAATATCTATGTGACACACTCGTATTTGCAATGCACGACCATCTCGATAATTCGTAATTGATGAGAGAAATGGTTGAGTCGCGCGTCGCAAAACCGTTCGAAAGTCATTCAAACACTTAGCGCCGGCAATCGGCTATCGGTTATAAAAATAGAAATAACACGAACGTACGACCAACAGCCCCGGAGAAAGTAAGACCGGCGAAATAATGCATAAAGAGGCTGCATTCATTTTCACAGACTTATGCGGGGCCGAATAATGTACGTAGAGGAAGAGGGAATTCCTCGTAGCGGGCACCTCGTCGTCTCGGGGAAATTGTAATCGGAGCGTTCGCGAGGTCCAATCGCGCCCGAGCCTTTCTGCGCAGAATCTCGAATTCAGCACGATCTAGGGAGACTGGGGAGGGTGTGGGACATGGAAAAGGGAGGGAAAAGCGCAAATATGGCCGGCGTCGTGTCGATGCGGCGATGAAAATCAGCAGTTCGGCCCGGACGTCGTGTTCTCCCGTCGTGTACGAGCGTAGACGCTGCTGTCAGAGGTAGCGCTAAAGAGAAATAAATCGGGACGGGCTGAGAAAACGGTGACCGCCGCAACAACGCCAGGGTCTCTTCCTCTCGCACGAAGAGAGAAAGAGAGAGAGAGAGAGAGAGAGAGAGAGAGAGAGAGAGCGTGGTGCGTCGCGGTGGCCGCGGGAAGAGGCCGCGGTCAGGGGGTTGGGTGGGGCGAGGGGGGATCGTCGGACCGGAGAGCGGCCAGACGAAACTGCTCTCTTTTTTACGGCCGTACGACTTCGTTCGCCTCTCGTGGGGCCGACAGTGCCGCCTTTGGGTTTCGCATCCGTGCCAGGGACCGACCCTTGACGCGGCACCGGGGAAGACGATTCTCCGCGGAACAGAGAACGGCAACAGTGAAATAATGCGCGCGCTCGTTGCGCGCCGGTAACAAGTGCACGCACGAACGGACCAACACTACCTGGGCTACGTCCTCCGCTCCTCCTAAGCTCCTCTAATTCACCGTACGCATCGCACACACGCGCACGACGGCCGCTTGCACGATAAATATGTGCAGCACGGCTACGCATACGAAAATACTCATGCCCGCGCTCACATACAGGCGCGCCGCTAGCAAGTAGCATGCGCGCGCGCACTCATAAATCGTAATCGCGCTCGCGTGCCTGTGCGCGTGCATAAATGTTCCTGGCTGGAGGAGGTGCGGAGGTTCGCCGAAAGCAGCGGATACAAGGTGAGTAAGGGTCGAAGGAGGTGGCGGCCGGGATAATCGCGGAGATCGCAGGTCTCGCGCACTCCATAACTCTCCTTCTCGCTTGGATCGCGCGTTTAAAGTACAAAGTACTTTAGCACAATAGTCGTGTCGACACGTGCGTGTATGCCTCGTGTATATCGGGCCGAGCGGCAAGCGTACGAGCGCGCGCGCGCGCGCGCCCACACGCACATGTGCTCGCACCAGTGTGACCGAGGTAAAAGGGAGCTTGGCTCTGAGAGTAGGTGGGCCGAGGGTCGCCGGGTGGTCGTCGGCGACCATACGTGGATTCCCGGTCGTCCTTCCCGTCTAAGAGCCGCCATCCGAGGTTTGTTTGCGCGCGCGTGTGGGCGCTTACAAGAGAGAGAGAGAGAGAGAGAGAGAGAGAGAGAGAGAGAGAGAAAGAGAAAGAGAAAGAGAGCAAACGAGTAAGCAAAGGCGCGTGCGCTACTGCGCCCGGTCATGCATATGCGTGCGTCCGTGCGTGCGGGCGGCGTGCGTGCGTACGGCGGACATACGATGTACGAGCGCACGCGCGCGTCCGAATTGTCGAGGGAGCGAGAGGGAGAATAGCCTAGTTGCCGCATCGCAAGCGATTGACACGAGGTTTGATAATCACGTGTATGGGCCGTTCACGCACACGCGCGCGCACGCACACATTAGCGGCAGCCGGGCAATATTTGTTTCTCTATGGTAACAACAGGGACTGCCCGAAGCTCGACGAGAGCCCTTTAACCGCGTCGTTAAAAGATCGTTGGAATAAGAAAAGATCACTACAGCGCGGTCGTATCCACCCACGTTCGCAATATACCGGTCGGTCATAGAGAGGTGAGCCAACGTGCCGACGTGAGTGAGTGAGTGAGAGAGAGAGAGAGAGAGAGAGAGGAGGTTCGAGTGAGCGCACTTGGTGATACGGGACGAGTTTGTTCCAGGAGGTGTCTTCGACTCGTCGTTGTCACCCGAATTTCAGAACCTCACCGTAAAGCACGCGTGTTAAAATGTAGCGGGAGCGCGTGGAGTCGGCGGCGGTGGTGGCAGCGGCAGCGGCGGCGCCACGAGATGCAGAAGTAGCAGCAGCAGCATCAGCATCAGCAGCAGAGGTAGTTCTCGAGTCCAATGTATGCGTCTAGTGGTGTGCGTCGAGGCCGTGTGGCACGCTGTGTGTTGGGTAAAGACGACTAGTGAGTAAGCGAGAGAGAGAGAGAGAGAGAGAGAGCGCAATTGTAAGAACGAAAGGGAGGAAGCGACGGAAAAGCCGAGGGAAAAGATAAAGAGCTGTGCGCGCGAAGAAGTGAGTGATGGGAAGGGTGCGTGAGCTTCTCGCGGCACCGCGTCGTTGAGGCTCTCCCGGTTGTCGCGCTCCGCGTCGCTAACTCGCACCTCGGGCGTATCTCCGTAGGTACACAGTCGATAGTATCGAGCAAAAAGTACGGAGAGGTGTAGAGAGATTGTTGAAAGAGAAATAGTGAAAGAGAGAGAGAGAGAGAGAGAGAGAGAGAGAGAGAATGAAACAGAGTGTTCGCGCGCGCGCGCGTGCGTGGTGTGTGTGTGTGTGAGCGAGTGAGCCGAGGGTGGACGGAAGAGAGAGTGAGAGCGAGCGAGCAAACAAACGGGCACGCCGCTGAGGAAGCAGAGGTTGTCACGTCGTCCGTCCGGCGCTGAGGGGCCAACGCGGCCTGGACGCATTGGTCTCGAGGGAGCGAGGGCATGCGCTCGACCTGGAGCCTCGTCACGGAGGTTTGTTTCTCTTATTCTTATCCGAGCGGCGACCCGCGACGCGGCTATTATTGCAGCGGTAGCGAGCGACAGCGGCGGCGGCGGCAGCGGCAGCGGCAGCGGCAGCGGCAGCGGCAGCGGCAGCGGCAGCGGCGATCGATCGATCGGGCCTCACGGCGCCCAACGAGCGGAGGCGGCGTCGGCGGCGGCGGTGGCGGTGGCGGCAGCGATAGTAGCAGAGGGGGAGATTAACCTAAAAGTCCGCGCGCGCTTTCCCTAGGTGCGCGCGTCGGGTAGTCAGGCTCAGCTTACAAGCCGAATTAGGTTACGTATCCCAGTGGCCCACGGTGACGTTGGGGAGACCCTTGTCCCGGTAGACAGAGCGGGATTGCGTGTGAGTGGGGCCTCAAGAAAGAAAGAAAGAAACAGAAGGAGTGAGAAATAGTGAAAGACAGGGAATAGCGCGGCGCACGCCGAGAATGTGCAGGAGGCCAGCCTCTATATAGCTGCGTTGCACTTATCGGATGTCTTCGCTGCGTATGGGTACGTAAACGTAAGACTGGACAACGATCGATTGACGAACCCTGCGCCCTTCCTTACACATTTGTCGCGACGCGGCCCCGTTCCTCTCCCTAGGAAGCCGCTTTGCCGCGTCCGGCCGGTCGGTCGGGTGGAAGGGAGACGGACAGTCCGTGTGCGTCCGGGAGTTCGAGGAACGCGAAGCGGAAAAAGCCACGCGACTCCAGGCTCGCGACCACGTGTCTATGTCGATGCCGCCACTACCGCCGCTGCCGCCAACTTCCTCGATGGGCCTCGCGCGACCCATCGAGTAATGACTCTTTGACATGGTCCCTCCAACCCCTCCAAAGACATTTAAATGTCGGTATTTTTGTTTTGCTTTTCTGCATTAAAAGTTGAATGTCGAATGTTGAATTGTCCCTTTAAATAATCGATAAACGCTGTAACCTAAAATTCATTCTTCGATCATCAAATAATTTTTCCGTTTAAGTATGCAAAGGATTTGTTTTAGTAGTTAACTTTATCGGAATCTTTTCCTCGCCCAAGCTCAATATATTTTCAGTTCTTCGGCTCCACAAAAATGCAATTCGCGCAATTATGCATGCACATATCAACAATAGTTCTTTTATCGTTCAATTCTCGTAAATAATTTGCACTTTTATTTATTTATTTACTTTTTTTTTTTTTTTTTTTTTTTTTTTTTTAAATAAATTTCTTGAAATAATTTTTTCGTAATTATACGCATCATTATACTTATATCGAGATACTTGTTAAAATAAAATTATCATTCGTTTCAATATTTAATTAAAAGTATGTAGCTTATTTTTTATAAATTTTGTGTTTGCGTGCAGGTGTGGGTGTAAGTGTTATTGGGATCAATTTTCAAGCTCTTGGTGAAAACATTTTAATTTATACGTTTCAAAGTCTTACATTAAAAACATTCTTCCGTACATAGGTGGGTGTCTTAAATTAATTAATAGAAAATAATAACAATGGAAATTAACTTGTATTACAATTTTGGCATTAATATCATTTGTAAATAATAGTGGATTGTTTGATTCGTAATCTAGTAAGGTAGATCGTTGACCATATAAGCGAAGCAAAAAATGTACGCTTGTACAATGCTGTTACGGTTGAACTCTAATTTAGTCAGTTTTACAGATTCATTTTATGCGTATGTAAAAGTAAAATTGATCATAATGTACAAAATTCGTACACCATTACCAATATTGTAAATTATAATAATGGAATGCTTAAAATGTTAGAATAACGAAGGGTTTTGGATAACTATTTGTAGGTAAATAAAAGTTGAGGTTAATTAATTTTTTTGAGAGCTCTTGCAAAATTAGCGCTCAAGTACGTTTAGAAATAATCTTTAGTGAAACACTTGATACAAACGTATCGTATGCAGCATATATCGAGTATAAATCAAAACCGTACGAGGTTGTTGGATATCGTTAACTCTTCTTTTCTTTGCTTTTCAGAAAGTGTAGGCTAAGCGAGCCTACAAACAATTATTAGGAGAGGGCTGTTTAATAGCACAGAGCTGTGGCTTGCTACGATATATCTTCAAAAGGAGACAAAATGCCTGCGGTGAGCGTTTGCGACTCGCTGTCTGTGGCTATACGTCACAACTTGGATACTGCTGGACAGTCCAAATCCACTGATGACCTAAACATAAGCCTAGCGACCAATGCCTCTCGTATACTGCAAACGGAGCTCGACTACGAAGAGACCGATAACTTCAGGTCAACCGTTCAGGATCGCCTCAAAAGCAAGTACATGGTTTTGAGTTTGCCTAAGCAAGACAATTCTGATAATGGAAAAAATAAGGACGGAGCTAGTAGTTCAAAGACTTTTGAAAAGAATAAAGAACCAAGGTTACCGGAGCCAGTTGTCACACTGTACTCCGCCGACAAGGTGAACCTTGGCTGGAACGAAAACTTTCCCATTGGTGCTGGCATGTACAATGTCGGAAACACTTGTTATTTGAACAGCACTCTGCAGGCACTCTTTCACGTTCCAGCATTAGTGAATTGGCTGCTGTCCGATACGCATCATGATTCAAAGTGCGAGCAGAATGGTATGAATCACATCGACTACTTCCTTTACCAAGCATGACGTAGCACAAATTTTCTCTTTACTTTAACAGATAATAATGCTTCGATTATTAAATTTGACGTTTTTTTTTTATTCGCTGTACGTGGTCGTTGAGATAGGGAATTCAAAGAGAATTAACAATCCTGGTAAAGGAGGTCGAATCGAAAAATCTTTAATTTCTCATCCAAGATATTTCATACGATGCACATAGTTCTCATTAATATCGGCACTAAAGCACTCGCGCGCGCGCGCGCGCATGTGTTTCTAAGTGTGCCTAAATGTGTGCACGAAATCACGTACGTGATCCACGAGAGATTCAATTAAGTCTAAGTTTTTTGCTTTTCACCGTATGCTATAAAGGGGAAGGGAATTTAAGACTTAATAAAATAATGTGCCGTATACTTAAGGTGCATTGGTAAATATTTACTCCGTCGAAGCTGAAGATTTTATTTTCCAAACTATTATAAAGCAGTAGTCAAGTTATTTATAGATTGCCTTTTTAAATTCAAATTTAAGTTACCATGTGCCAATTACAGTAAGGAAACTAACGATAAATATTATTTTTTTAAATGCTTAATCAGTGTTTTATAACAATAATAAACCATAATTACAAATTTAGATATCTTATCTGAATGTGAGATTAAACTATAACTGGGCACTTAATTAAACGAGTGAAAAAAAAAACCTTCATTTACTAACGGTGGTTCTATTAATATTAACGTTAATTATTATCTAACTATCGACATATCTCCAAGTCTAATTTATTCGATCCTTGAAGTCCTGTAGTTATTACCTCGTACTAATTTAACGATGTATCTGAAACGACAGTTAGAGATCGTTTCTTTTTAGATGGAGCTGGTGAGTGCCTTACATGTGCGGTAGCTAAGACTCTAGAGTTTAGTCACCAAAAGTCTGGTGACTCGATCAAACCCTTTCACGTTTACAATAAACTTAAACGTAAGCATCAATGAGCCTTTGGGCTCTCATTTCATACATTAATAGCATAAATGACGAATGAACAATCACTCACCATCGCTTCTATCCTCTTCTTCTTTCAGTTATTTGCAGAACAATGGTGCCAGGTCAGCAAGAGGATGCCCATGAATTTTTACGTTACCTTTTAGAAGGCATGGAAAAAGCATATTTGACGCGGCACAAGGCAATGAAGTTAGATAATTATTCAAAAGAGACTACTCCTATTAATCAAATTTTTGGTGGATACATTAGAACGGAGGTCAAGTGCCTACAGTGTCGGCACGTCTCAACAACTTTTCAACATTTCCAGGTATTAATATAACAGTTTACTCGCGCACTCATTCCACTCAATCATACACATACCTACAGACGCATTTATATTTCCGGTGTTGGGGTTGGGCGTTGCGGATAGAGAGAAATAAATAATTGAAATAATCAATAAATAAAACGACAAATAAGGTTTAATAACGACGTAACCAGCAGCTAATTAAATTCGCCGACTCCACCGCGACATTGCCAAAATTCAACAAAATTGCCCAAGCGAGAAGCCGTTATTATAAAGAAAACCGATGGTCGATGTTTCAGGATTTGTTATTGGACATTCGGAAAGCAGGCACGCTGGACGAAGCTTTAGCCGGATACTTTAGTCAAGAGCAGCTGGACAATAACGATTACAAGTGCGAGGCGTGCAAGCGACGAGTTCCGGCCACGAAGCAATTCATCCTCGAAAGACCACCCAAAGTTCTCTGCGTACAATTGAAGCGCTTCAGCGTTTTGGGAGGGAAGATTTCGCGACACATAGGTTTCAAGCAAACGATCGACATGGGCCCCTACATAAGACGCCAGCACGGCGAGCCACCGAGTAAATTAATCTATAGACTCGCCTCCATGGTCACTCATATGGGCCCGTCGGTCAATTGCGGACATTACACTGCCATAGCACAAGTGTCGTCGGGGAAGTTTTATTCCTTCGATGATTCTTGCGTAAGTATCCTTGCGCGCCATGGAATAGCCTTCACGCGCCAATGGATTTATTTATTTTTCAAAAGCCGTGCGTTTAATAGTTGGTAACAATTTTAAGGCCCTAATGGAAAAACAAAACAAAACAAAAACAAAAAAACATAGGTAATCCAGTGATTTTTATGCGATAACTACAACCGCGAATATGATTTGATTGCATTTTTTTTTTTTTTTTTTTTTTTTTTTTTTTTTTTTTTTTTTTTCTACGTATACGTATATTCGATACCTTGAATTTTAAAAGTAATGAAACGAAAGAAAGGATGTACAATGTCGATTGGCAACGCACCGCTTGAATATTAAAATAAAGTAACAACATTTTTAAGATATTGCGATTATAAAGAGCTCATGCGATTTATAATGTACGATGTATGACAGTTACGAATGCATTATAATTTTGATATTTATACCAATTAATCTAATTTTACGATAAAATGATAATTTATACAGTGCAAACGAGGTTTGTGCGCAATAAATATTGCGCTATTTGCGAACATTTTTGCGAGCTTCTCACCTCGATTTGCCATCGCGTTATCGACCTTAATTAAATTACCATTTGAACAAATCGATCGATTTCTACTTGACCGTTGTTTCATCATTCTAAAACTGTGATGATATAATACCGTGACAATGACGAAATTAAAGAAAAAAAAAAAAAAAAAAAAAAGACCCCCAAAATTTCATTATAATAGAAAATAATAGAATGATTTGAAGGGATTTAGGTTATATGGCGTTGCTTAGAAAATGTCAAGTTAAATGTTACCTTACATTTCACGGCTCTGAACTTTGCGATTGCGTGCAATCTACCACTCTCGTTTTGAAAAAGCGCACGAGCGTCCAAGTAATTTCACAATTCGACACACGAGAGTAAGTAATACTGCGCGAGATTTATCTAGTTAAATATTGTTATCAATGAAACGCCTCCGTTCTCTCCCCCACCCCCCCCCTCCCGCACACGCACACGCACACGCACACGCATACGCACACTCCGCCAATCGCACAATACGCCCCGATTTATTTTCTGACCACCTCCCCCACCCCTGTAACAGGTCCGTCAAATAAGTCTGAGTAACGTGGTGAGCACCAACGCCTACATAATGATCTTCGAGATGGAGTCGACCTCGTCGACAAACTGCCAATCCCAGGGTAGTCAGCTAGTGAGCTCTAAGAGCGACAATTCGCTATCCAGGGCCGTTCTGACCTTTCCCCACTTGAACGGTCTGTCCAACAAATTGCTAGACAGCAACGGCAGCAAGCCGTCCACGCCGCCTAGCAAAAACGGCGAGAACAGCTCGTCCAAGTCGAGCGACCGAGAGGATGAATCCGTATCGCCGACGCCACCTCCACCGCCACCCCCACCCCTGCCACCGTTGCTTGCGCCGAATATTGCAAGGCGCAATTTCATCGGACCCCAACTACCACCACACATGGCCGAGAAAAATAGGTACGTAGATCCACGCCCCGTGCCACTGTCGAATTTTTTCTATTCGCGACATTCGCAATTATTAACGCAAACATTGCGTTTTAAAACGATGTTTTGCTTTGGCTCGGTCAAACGACAAAGTTACAATACGTTCGAGGAGTAGCGAGGTCCAGTGAAATTTTTGCGCTCCATGCGTTGGCGTTTCTTTAATAATATAATTACGTTTAAATAGACATACATATATTTACTTTCGAAGCACTCGTTACATCACGGCGACATCATATTTTTCATAGATAAACGATGAATTTCCTGTTCCGCTCACATTATGTGCATTGCATGTACGTACGGCAATTGTAATACAGTTAATTTGGTTTTTTTTTTTTTTTTTTTTTTTTTTTTTTTTTTTTTCTCCCTTCCTCATAACTTTTGGTGGCATTTATGAGAATTAATTTATGCTTATGGCAATTGTTATATATCGTTATGTACTCACAGACAATATTTTACGCTTAGACTGAGTTTATTGGAATGTATTGGAAGTGTTTGTGTTGCAAGTTGTTTTGTCGAGGGGAGCTAAAAGAAGGAAGGATTTTTCGGATTTTTCACAAAGACGGTTAAAATAAAGTTTACAATGACCTCATAGATGAGTTATTTTCGAATAATTTCGAGTAACCTCGTTAATAAACGATAAAATAAAATTTTCTCAAAACACCAATACCTACTTCTTTATAATTATTCGCAAAGTAACTCGCCAATTCGTGGTTAAATATTCTGATGAATCGTAATAGTATTGGGATAAATTTTTACATTTAGCACTTGTGCATTTTAAATTCTTAAACGTATGCTTTTTATAATGATAGTGATATTTAAAAATGCTAGCTTAGGTTTGATTAAATTTGCAATTGGCGCGCTTGTGCGCAGTGATACAATTCACTTCGATTCTCAATTTTCTTTTAAAGCATTCGAAGTTCAATATTCGATGGGTTATGCCATTAACAATATATATGATTATACATGTAGTATTTATGGAATATTTTTGATTTGTGTATGTTTGCTCGTGTTTGCCGGCGTAATCATTGCATTGCATCTTTTTCTTTTTTTTCCCCTTTTTCTTTTTGTTTTCATCCATCCGTAAAATGTGATTGATTTACCCTGTAATGTCTAGAGTAGCCCCAGACAAGTTTCTGCTCACCAATTGCCTTTAGAGTGAGCGATCTGTCAAGCGATTTATTCGCATGAAAATCTCGACAGATATCTTTTAAACTCACGTCTCCGACATTCGGTACGTAGTCAAATGTTTCGCTGATTTTATAAAAGTTGAATCTATAGGGCAGCAAATACTTAGCGAGCAGTATTTACTTTTCGCGCCCTTAATTTGCGATACTCCCATGTGTCTAGCCGAGTCTACAATTTGGGCTTAAAAGGAAATCAAAGCAGAAAGTTCCTCGTGGTTAACCAAATGAGCTCCAGAAACGGTAAAGCCAAAATACTAGGGAAAGGAGACTTAACCAGCTGCAATGTTCAGTGTAGTTTGCATATATTCTCAGAATAGTGTTTGTGCATTTCACAGTATACGTGCTATTGGCAGGCTTTTGTGCGATGGAAAAAGCACACGCGACCCCTGTAGCTTTGCCATTTACAACGAATTCGGGGAGGGGATTAGTTCTTTGTATTTCTGCAGGTTCGAGAGTTTCTCTTCTTTCTTATATGTTAACGAAGGAAATCCGGAGTGCCCCTCGTAGTATCAGCCAGACCGGGAATGTGGTTCCTTTACCCTTCCTTTGTCCATCTCAATCAAACCCCGTAGAACCGCTTTATAAAGCTTCAGTCGCTATTAAAGTGAATGCCATTATAGAATTCCTCGTACTCGTGCTCCCTATGGGTCACTCGTAAGCCGCCCAACTCCTGCAAAACAACGGAACTAAGCCTCTTTACTCGTCTCGAAAGGATATGTGAGAAAGAGTCCGACAACCCCTATCGAAAGACATTACATTGGCGCAATCAGTCTATTGATTTTCCATGCCTCTCATTCCTTTTAATCGTGCAAAACATTTGTCGATGAATGATTTGTTTTGCATTTATGTGCTTATTGGATGGAGAGAGAGAGAGAGAGAGAGAGAGAGAGAGAGAGAGAGCATCTACACATTTAGCAGCGTCGATTAAATTGTCAAATAAGGGAATTAAGTAATTTTATTTAGAGAGCGCGCAGGCGACAAGAGTCGAGTTCAATGGTTAAAAAAATATTTTTCAAAAAAATTCCAGAGCGCTGGTTATTGCTATTAAGGTTTTTACGTCTCTTCTATTTTTTAATGCTCTACGTTTTGTATAATATTATGAAATTGTTTTAGCCTTGATTAAACAATGTCTCTTGACCGAAACTTGTTCAACACCTAATTAAATTGGTCATTTTTGTTGTCGCATAATGCCATTCCAATTAAAATAATTCAGCTTTATCGTTTTTAATAACACTAGCTGCATACGTAGGATTACTTAAGTTTATCGAACTATTAAAGAATTTTTTTTTATATAATTATTATTTGTATTATGATTGTTATGATGACGATTATTATTGTTGTTGTTGTTGTTGTTGTTGTTGTTGTTGTTATTATTATTATTATTTGTTGTTGTTGTTGTTGTTATTATTATTATTATTATTATTATTATTTTATATATTCATTTTGCTTTATTTTTCAAGTAAACGCAACAACGAAATCCCACATTTCAGACTGTACGAGATGTCGAAAAGCGGGAAGTTAGTGGATTACGATGGTGACTCGAGCGACGATGACGAGAACGCAAAGTTATCCCGCGACGATCGAGATGCCTTAAAATGCGTAAACAACTCACCCTCCTCGTCCAAGTCCATTAAAATGAACGGGAGCGTGTACTCGTTCTCTTCCCAGACGTCGAGGTCACCCTCGGGACGCAACGGCAACGTTCATCACTCAATGTCCAATGGCCTTGAGGCCAACAACGGCGGCGGTGAGAACGCCAGCAGCAGCAGCAGCAGCAGTAGCAGCAGTAGCAGCAGCAGCAGCAACGACTCGTCGTCGAGGGGCTCGTCGCCCAAAAATGGCGCCACCAATGGCAAAATGGAGCACAACAATGGCTCGTCGTTAATGGATAAAACAAAGGAAAAGTGGCGCTATTCGAAGGCGCGATTAGAGTCGACGGAACAGAAGGTCTACACCAAGGCAACCCCCATAATTAATAATAAGGGATGGCTTGTGTGCAAGGATAGTTCGTCGCCCTCGTCTACCACCGCGGCAAATGGATGGTCAGTCTCCGACACGTTGTCGTAAGTCACATTCATTATTCATTGCAGAATTTTGAATGACTTTCAAAGACCTACCTTAATACTTTTATTTATTCACGATTATTTGAAGTTTCATAGAATTTTCATAGAAATTGGTTTATTATTTTACTAAGCTCTCGCCATCGTTGGCATTTTAATTTAATGACACCACCGAGGGCGTCAGCTTCGGATGTCCCAAGTTAATTAAATTCAAATGCGAAAGTGCATTTGACATTTGGCACGGTATTCCGTCGTGTATCCCGTGAGCGCAATTTCACATTTCATAATGAGATGATCGTGGCGTCTATCAAAGCGCCACCTTGCAGATATAATAGCACATTGTTTGCCATATTGAGAATAACTTAAATGAGAATAGCGTAAAAGTTCGACAACACCACACCAATTCTATTTTCTATGAAACTTTTTATACGTTATAAAATAAAGAAAAGTGTTGGATTTTATGCATTTTTTTCGTCGCAATTTTCACGTCATTCCAAAAAATTCATCTATCATCATTCAATAAGGCAATTTGAAAATTCAGTCTTTATGAGTGATTTTACGAGAATATTTATTTTTTATCGAATGCTAATATAATACGTAAAATAAGACGAATAAAATGATGCTGTTAGGAGATATTATTTCTTCTATAAAAAAATTATTATAATTTTTAGGGACGAGTCAAATAGTAATAGCAATAGATCTAATATCCATTCCGTAACTCCGAGTGCAGCCGAAATAAGAAGCTTTAATGGAACAAATCGATCGGACACTCTATCTCACTTACAAAAATCTTCCCAATGGGCCTACGGCAACATGAATGGTAAATGAGACTAAAAATTTTAATTCTTTGTATTTTAATTGCCACGTCTCTCTCTCTCTCTCTCTCTCTCGTTCTCTCTCTCTCTCTCTCTCTCTCTCTCTCTCTCTCTCTCGCCCTTCTCGTCAATGAAAATGCAATATAATAAATTGGTGATATTTTCTTGTTGACGGGAGGGACATCGAGTAATGACGTGTGCGAGTTTGCGCCTGAGACTCCTTATCTTGGCATCATCCACGTGACAGTTAATATATCGCAACTATGATATTTCTCGTCGCGAGAGCACTAAATACTTCGTTCTTTACGTTTAATACGGAGAGTACTGTTAATTTTATGTCGGTCGTGTCCACCTCACCCTTCCTCTTCGGTATAATGAAAAATTTGTCGAATAGTCGAAGGGAGGAATTTATGAGAATTCAGTGAGAATTTCAATTTTCAGTTCACAATTGGAATGGTGGAAAGGCACGCTTGGATCGTGAGGTGGAGAATCAGCGTCGTCAGGAACGTAAGCGTTCCTTCGATAATGACGAGGATAAGCTCGATCGCGGTCGCACAAAGAAGATGAGGATTCATCACGACAACGATTACAAAAACCGTAACGACTCCAAACACAATCAATTTCAACAGCACCAGAATTCCATGAAATGGGCCCACGGAAACAATCAGTGTCGACCTAACAACTCCCACATGTATGGTCGATCCCGGCACGGAGGCGGTGGTAATTATAATAGGCCGCCTTATAATCGCTACCATCACAACAAATCAAGGAACCATTGGCGCAGGTAGGAGACACGCTGATAACGTGAGTCTCGCGGGGTGGCGTTATCCTTTTTAGTTTAGTTTCGCAGCATTCGACGGCGGCGAAAACGCGATAGGCTAGCTTTACAATTATAAGGAGTTAGAAAAGGTTAAGATAATAAACTATGATGAATATATGTAATGCGAGACATGTGTGCGGCTTGGTCCATGGGGTTTCAGTGCGTTGAAGATGAATGAAAACTCAGCTTTTAAAAAAGTCCCTTCGACGTTTTGCGGCGTACTTTATCAATATTATTATTAATTATGGCCAAGTAAATATCGCCTAGGATTTTAATACAAATTGTCAATTTAATTCTCTCTTACGGATTATTTAAAGTTTCGTAAAATGGCCAGCGATTATTCCATAGATGATAAAAATCGAAGCACTGACAAAGTTAGATCTCAGTTCTTTAGTATTGGCGAATTTGTTGAATTTGAGAGAAATCAGTCCTCTTGAAGTATAACCCTTGAGTGGTTCGATTAAATTTACCAACAACATCAAAAAACAAAATAACAAAATAAATAACAAAACACAAACAAACAAACAAAAACATAATAATTTCAGCAGAAACGAATACAAAGTTTCTTATTTTAATTTTTAACGAATTCCTGTTTTCATCTACGTTAACTCGACCAATCAATTTTATAAAAAGTCATCTAATTTAATTAATTCTTACAAAATTCCTATTATTGCGATAAACAAAATTTATCAAATAAACTATTACTGTAAATAACAAGTAAATTTAAAAAAAAATAAAATAAAAATAAAAAAAAAAAAAGAAAGAAAAACAAACAAATCATTAGAAAATAAAAAAATTCATCGATACAGTCGCCCAAACGACTCGTTTCGGCGAATCAATCGCAATTATTATTAAAGTTTAACAAAACTAATGTACATTAATTTTTATTAATTTTATGATCTGATGCGATAATATCGCAAGAGGAATTTATCAAAAATGGAAAACCTTTGAAATGAAATAATTAGAAAGTAAGTTGATTTGTAAATAAAAAACAAACAAAAAAACAAAAACAAAAACAAAAAAAAAAATAAACCAGAGCTCTAGTTGCATTTATTAATAAATTTATCGATTGTGTTATGAATTAATTAATACATACATCGATCGTATAATGAATTCATGAATAAATATATACGAGTAATTAATTCATCAGCAATGCAATTCAAAAGGTATTGCAATAGTTGTTATATTATTATTTTGCATTTAATTATCATAAAATACGATGATATTGGATAAAACCTAACTGATTTACCTCTGATAATTTATCAAGCCTACATAAATATACAGTAGACTAATGCTAAATATTACGTAGTGGTTAATCGCGAATAGAATGTTCGTTTATTTTTCATTCAACAATTCACCAATAATCGTCGGAACAATGGTAAATGATAATTTAAAAATTTACTTGCAATTCAGTAGTTTTCAATGATCTCCAACGAAATACACCATACCAGAAAGCCAATGTCGTTTTATTACTGTGAATACCCTGTATGAACGAATTTATTCCATTGACGTTTGTTTTTTCGTTGTTTTATTTCATTTATGTCTCGTATCGCGAAATGTATCACTAAACGACATCCGATTGTTGCATTTGAAAAATCCGTTATATATATATATATATATTTTTTTTTTTTTATTTTTTTTTTTTTTTTTTTATTTCACGTGCATACGTATGTGCGCAATATTCGTTCGTTACTAAATAAAAGCGAAAATGAATGTACGAAGCAGGTAAACTAAGCCAATATACCGAGGTATACGCTGGTCTACCAACCGCGTGCCTATGTTTTTAGCGAAGGTATTTTAAGCGAAGGAAGGGCCGAGTTTTACAGCGCTTTATTGGATTCGTTAACTTATCGCGTTGTGCATTGGCGATGCTTTTTTTTTCCTTTTTTTTCCTTTTCTTTTCCTTTCTTTTCTTTTCACACACACACACACACACACACACACACACACACACACACACACACACACATATATAAATACTTGATGTTCTCGCAAAGAGCATTATACAGATATTATAAATTCATTAGATATAAATCGTGTATACTTGTATCTACCGTGAGAAATGCATTTTTTAAATGGCTGAAATACTTTTCTTTTAATACTGGCAAATCAACTCCGTCGGAATCAATTTTTCTCGTCCACTCATCGTCATTCGAAACTCAACGTTCGAGCCTCAATTTCGCATTAATACGACGGTGGTAATTCTGTTAGTTTTATTTAGAGAAAATGATGCGTTTGAATACGAAAGACTCTACCTACCAATCCGCAAGTCACGTAAACTATTTTATAAAACAAAGACGAAAAACAAAGAAAAAATGTATAGCATAATAACAATGTCAGTATTTAATAAAACAAAAACAATAAAACAAAAACAATAAAACAAAAACAAAAAAACAAAAACAAAAAAAAACAAAAAAAAACCTCAGGACGTTTAAGAAATGCTTATTTCTCTGTACAAATAATATGTAAGCCGTATAAGTATAATCATATTGATCATTGTACGAATGTTGCCGTTATAATTATGTTCATTTAGGCATAAAACTATGAATTATTGAAAATGGCAAGGTGCGTACGCCGTATAAGTTTCGTGTATAATGTTATACAATCTGCTGCGATTTCTCAAAATTTGTCATACATGCCAATAGACCTTTCTTTTCTCATGTTAATCGGCATACACTTTCACCTGAACGCTATACTACCTATCTGTCTATCATCCGTCTATCGATTGACGCGTGCTTGCAAGCACACACGCGCCGTGACCACGATGAGCGCGTTGCGGTGACGTCCTTCAACCCAAAGGGATATATATATATATATATATATATATATATATATATAACTATATATATATCTATATATATATCTATATATATATCTATATATATATAGAGGGAGGGAGAGAGAGAGAGAAGAAAGCAAGACAACTCTTTGGTCCATCGTTCCGTCTGTACAAAAGTATGGGGCAACGACAGAGAGAGCTCTAAAAGAGTCTTTCGGGGCGTTTAAAACTTACTGACGCAATCCACAGCGTTATCGTTCACTTTTATATTTGTACGTAATTATGCTCTTCAGGTCGTATATATATATATATATATATATATATAGTTCTAGTAGAGACGGACGAGGCGCGAGTCGAGTACAAGTTGATCAAGCTCGGTTAAATGATTTAACACGTTTTTCTTTCTAGCCTTCGATCATATATATATATATATATTTTTTTTTTTAAGTTTAACACTCACGGTTAAACTTTTTGTTTTAATAATATAGGGAGAGCAATTGAGACCGACGCTGGTATTTCAAAATTTCTTAACGTTTTCCATTCTATTTATTCGTGTGTAAATATCAATGACTGTGTATAATTGATAAGGAATATAGTAAATTTTATCTGATAAATGACTTGCAATAAAATAAAAACTCTTTGAACTGTATTATTTTCTCTTTCGCAGTACGATTTTTCTTTCTTCGTGCGTTCTCCCCCTCATGTTGCGTACACAATATTGTTCAGGTTGGAAAAATAGTGTGTTCTAATGGACCTGTGAGCATTTGTTTTCAATTACTTTTCTCACCCATTCTGAAACAACATATATATATTTCGAATTTATCGTGTTTTTTTTTTTTTTTTTTTTTTTTTTTTTTTTTTTTTTTTTTTTTTTTTTTTTTTTTTTTTTAATAGCATCTTCATTAGTATTTGATGCCGACTTGCCACCATTGCCTAGCTTCTAGTATTCAAATAATTGCCCTCAATCAAATCGTCGGTTAGACTTTCTATACGAATGGACTTTACCACGTGCTCGATAGTAAAGAAAACTCACGCGTCGTCGCGTAAAATAAAATAATATGAGATAGTAAATGCTAGTTTTGAGGTACTTTACTTAATCGGAAGCAAGTACAGTAATATATTTTGGTGCTTGTTTTGTGCTTTTCGTTTCTTTTTTTTTTAATTTTGTTTTTTATAGGATCTTATCGGTTAGTCAACTGTACGAAACGTTAACATTGTTTACTCCAGCTACGACTGCATAAACATTTTGAGTAAAAAAAAAAAAAACTCGAACGTTAATAAACTATCAGCTGGTGATTCAATTTTATAAAGCCTTAAATTTATAATAAAATGGTTTTGAGTCGACGACGATTTTCTAAGGTTTGCAATAAGCGCGATAATAAAACGCAGACGATTAATTTGTATTTGGAAATATTTTGAAAGATCAACGTCAGTCTGTTCGAGCGTAAACGGTCAACGGTGGCTTATCTCTTGATAAAATACTCAGAGCGACATTGAGCCCATAAATCGTTAATCCTGTAATAAGTGACAGCGAGCGGCAGCAGCAATCATTGCGACGCGATTAGTTGGCGAATCTCCCGAGTTTCGCGCGAAATTCCCCGAATCTCGAGCATACTTTCCTTCAGAACTTGAGCCTCCGGGTGTCGTCCCATCCTATCACGACAGCGGTCGCTGAAAAATATACCTCGTTGCGTCATATTTTATCGTGAATTTAATATTAGCCAAAAATTTAGATGATTAGCTTGACGACTAGCGCTAGTATCGATAATGATGAGAGAAGTAAAAGTTAATTAAAGACGAATGGAAGGAGAGAAGATAGTACGAGAGTTGCAAAATTTGAATTCGTTCGATTATTAGGGCGATTAGTTGCAACACTTTCGAACTTGATTCGTGTATAGAGAAGAGCTGTTTTGTCGAGGATATTAAGAAGATTACACAAACAAAAAACTAATAATAATACTACTAATATTAGTAATTATAATTACATTAATAATAATGATTAATAATTAATGATAATGATAATGATGGTGGTGATGATGGTGGTCATGATGGTGGTGATGACGACGATTATGGCGATGATAATGATGATGGTGGTGATGACGACGACGACGACGACGACGATCACGACGATTACGACGATTACGACGATTACGATTACAATGATGATGATTAATAATAACGATAATGATAAATGCCATTTGTATGTATGTGCACGCGCGTATATTACTCGTGTGTATTCCGAAGTATGTTCAGGGTGAGAGACGACAAAGAGCGAGAACGAAAGCTGATGATAACAGATGTGCGATAGCGATACACGTGTACAGAAATATACGGATGAAAAGATTAAGGGAAAAACAGACGTCTCGGTGAGGGAGCTCTTTTAAAGTCCGTTTATTATTATTATTTCAATTTTTTATTTTGTTTTTTTTTTTTTTGTTTTTTTTGTTTTTTTGTTTTTCCTTTTGTGACGTTTAAACTACATAGACGAAGATGAGCTTCCGTGCGAAAAGAAAAATAAGCTCAATAAAAGTTCCGATGCCTGTATCACTTTTACCTCATAAATGAAGCTACAAGATACAATGCAATACGCTCATTACCATTCAATTTCAGTATGAACAAGTTTCACTTACTTGATTTTGGCACGGATTATCATTTATTTTATGCCCGAAATTGCGTACTATAAATACTTCGAGCCGTTTGATTACTTGTTTCATATGTTTTTTTGTAAAGGTGACATTTTTGTTTTCTCCTTTCAGTTTTATTTTTATTATTTTTATTATTATTATTATTATTATTATTATTATTATTAATTATTTTTTTTATTTTTTAATGTTTGCACTTTCTTTTGTTGTACATTTTGTATTTATTTGAATCAGGGGAACTATTGTCAGGTTAAATTTTTTAAGTGAATATTTTATTGTATAAACCCACTGATTAGCTTTTGTAAGGAAAACAAAATATTGTCGTTATCAATAATTAAGTAGATGAAAAATTATTTACAAAAGATAGAAGATGAATTGGAAGTGTTGCTTCAGAATTATTTCGAACGTAAACTTATTCAATATTTTTATAAGTACAAGAACACAATAAAATATTAATAAAATAACTATGAAATTCCATTTTATTGTCGGCTTTATTATTTTTCAACCCAAATTTTGTAACAACAATATCAATTGAAATTAAGACTTGATATAGTGATGGAAAAAAAAACAGTCTGAAATAGAACCCCTGACACACTCATCTTCATAATTCAGCCTCGTAGAAATTTTTTATTATCTTGTCATTATGTACACATTTAGAAATTACTAATATTTATCTTCACATCAGAATTATATATATATATATATATATGGATAAAAAAAAAAAGAAAAAAAGATATTTAAAAAATGTATCCTTATGTAGTAATTGTAAACATTGCTTATGTTATAATTGAAATATAATTATTTCACCATAAACACGTAGATTAAGAAAAATTCGTTATTAATAAACAAAAAAAAAAAAAAAAAAAAAAAAAAAAAAAAAATAAAATTTCTAACCAAAACACGAGTGCACCGAGCGTGTATGTAATTTAATTCAAGTGAAATGACAAAAATATATTCTATAAGTTTAATAAAGCATCTTGACCAAGGACAATTTATTAATTTAGAATAACATATTTTAATGATAAATTACATAACATTAAAGATACGAATAATTACACTCTACTTTCGAGAACAGATATATTACTTTTATTTTTATAACGGACAAATTAATTTACATATGCTTATCTTATACATACAAATGTACAAAGGGGTGTCGAGTATATCGAGTTGCGATACCACGCGCTGACTTAGATTGGACTTAATGGATTCTCAAATATAATAGCTTCGATTACATTGTCCAATAATGAATAATGACTAGACTATAAAACGTCCTCGAGATCTGGCCAAGGAACTGGTGGTGCGAGCCTCAAGGAGGTAAGTTTATTCTGCATAAATGCCGGTGGCTCCAGCTTTCTTCTTTCCTACGTTAAAATAAAATACATAAGGTAAGCAAGCATAAGCGACTTGCGACTGGTGTTTTATCATACGGTTTGGCATTACATAATGAATTTCTCTAAATTATTATCGTGTATTAGACGTGGAACGATCCAAAGGATCTGCGCATCCGGGGTCATTAAGCTTTGACGGCAAATTGCATTCTTACCTGAGTTGCTTGGCTATCCGCGCTTTGAGGCGTGGGAGGTGAAAAGTCCGTAATTGGGTGTGACCATCCTTTCGTATTTAAACATTCGTAGCACAGCTTCGGCTCTGATAAACACTCCGCATGATATGTATGATTACAATTTAATATCACTATGCAATCGGCAGTATGCGACAGAATCCTTCTGCAAACTGGGCAAACGAGTGAGCTACTAACGCGCGCTTTGCCAGCTTCCCTGGGACAATGGTAATAATTATTTAACAACGGTCGCATGACGTATTAGTAAATCGCGCTACTAATCGGCTGTTCTCGTGATTAGGCTATCCCCAATGGAGGATGGCGCCGAGACACGTGGGGCTTATTACCTCAACGATTTTTTCAATGCCTCGTGCAATTCCAGGCCAACTAGTCTCGCCGTTGTCTGCACGAGAACTTCCTCGTACCTCGACTGGGTTAAAACGTCGGTGAGGAGCTTTCTCACGTCGCCCATCGTCCCGCCGGTCGATAAGGGCTGCTTCAAGATATGCTCGAGTACGGTCGATAAAGCGGTCGTGCCGCTAAGACTTTCCAAAATTATTTTCAGCAGCTTCTCGCTCAAAGCCCGGCTGCCTGCGAACACGGAGACGACTTAACATTTCAATTATGGACAGTGGCTCGCCTGCGCTCCTCCTCCCGTACACCTCCAATTATTCTTTTCAACAATTGGACAAAAAACTTTTTCATTTAAATGCCCAGTAGAAACTCGATATCTTACTCTTATGAGCCTCGCTGCGAGCCGATTGCAAGCTCAATGTGATCTCGACAAGCGGTAGCCAATCGAGTGTGCCCGCCGACCTTCTGCACAGACCAGCTAGTTGCGCCGTTACACTAATCGCTTCCTCCTCTCTCGATTTATCACCATCAAACTGTCAATGTGAAAAATTGATTGTTGTTTTATCTCGGTTTATTTTTTTTTTTTTTTTTTTCTTTCATCTTTTCTTTAATCAATAGCAAATTAGAATTAGCCATCCAAAGCATTTCGGGCGAGAGGGATGGTGGGAAGCTCCTTATTTTTCTCATCCCAAGGTATTATCGTGCTATTTATTCGTTTATAAAATAACAAATGCTTGGCCAAATTAAGAAGCGTGGCATTTTGCCTTACCTGCTTCGTTATCTCCGTAAGTCGACCCAGCAAGAGATCGAAAGCACCCTGATAATTTGCCGATTGCTCCAGCAGCGTGGCTTCCGCGTCTTTGCGATTAGCCAGTCGAACTATTTTTAACGCGTCCTCTAATTCACAGCCGTAAGAACCTCGTAAATGCCTCAAAACCTGTAATGGATGTATGTATGTGAGCGATATCGGTTGTTTTGTTTTTTCTTTTTGTTCCACCTTCAATTTGTCGAAAGAGCCCGATTATAAAAGTAAAAGGCCGCGTGCTCTTTTGAAACGCGTCGATGTTTCGAACAATCGACAGGTCACGATATTCAATTAACGTGTACGAATGACCGCGACTCAAACGGCAAGGTACCTGGGAGGGGAAATTTTGAAATCTCGCTCTTAACGTAACCTCGCAACGTTAAACGCCAGTACTTTGTTCTCTTTGTTTTCAGCTTGTACAGCCTTTTATAAAAGCGAAATAATAATGGTAATCAAATGTATGGGACGAACTCTAACGCTTTACAAGACAATAATGGACGACGCGCGATGAAAGCAATCATCGTAATCGTAATGACCAAACAGCACTTACCCGTTCGGGCTCGAATTCGCACATCAATTCGAGAAAACGTTGGAGGTTCGACTGCGACAGCTCCGACTTTGGGCCGCTACGGTTTTCCTCCTCCTCCTCCTCCTCCTCCTCGTACGCCTTGTCGACCGTGGCCTCCAGCTCCCTCTTGCCACCCTCGGTGTACCCGTAAAGCGCGGCGAGTAACGCGTACTCGCTCCGAGGATCGTCGTGGACGGCTTCGAGTATGCGATCCGTCTCGTCGGCCAGACGCGCGACGATGATGCCCGCGAGGCCCGGAGCATCGATACTCACCAGGTCGCGCGCCTGCTTCATCATTATCTCACCGAGCTGTATCGTCGGCAATTGCTGGAGCAGCAGCGGGATCTCCGGGTGCCTCGCTGGATCGGCTATCATACACTCACACACCGATTTCCAGTCGCCGCGATTCGTGTGCAGTAGCTCCGATACGCGCAAACTGTGGATAAAAACGAAATTTTTTTTTTTTTTCTTTTTAAACATTCGAGCAAAGTTGCACGTAAATTGATCAACACTTTAACAATTAAATTAACTATTATTTAATTAAAGCAGCTAAATACTAGTTTGAATTATTTACGGATGTGTACAATCGATACGTACAATTTTTTATATTGGACTAGATGTACAATAATAATAATTAAATGGGACAGAAAGTAAGGAGAAAATATAATTGAAAATTTTTTATTTTTTGTTTTTTGTTTTTTGTTTTGATTGCGTTTGCGCGCACTATTGTCCCGCGATAATAGCCCAATGAAAACTTACAAATTAGCCTTGTGGGTGAGATTTAGGAGTGTGGTCTCCGCGAAGCTATTGAGCTTATTTCCGTGGATCAATTTCAATATTGCGTTTTCCCTCTTGGATTTATGATCGCCGCTCGTCTCTAGGCAAAGTATCTCGACAATTCTAAACAACGAATTTGTTTCCAAGTTCACCGTACACTCGACGATCTCGTCGACGATGAATACTAGTACGAATATTTTCTGCTCGTTGGTCAAGTAATCCGAGCTCTCGGGGACCTGTGGCGTGCTCGCCGTCACTATGTTGAATAATATGTCGACGACCCTCTGGCGCTGCCTCAAGCCCATTTCCGAGGTGAATTCGGGCTCCTGAAAAGCCATGGCGATCGCATCGAGGAATCCCTTGGCGTCGAATCTAAATAATATCAAATAATGATTATTTCATGAGTATTACCTCGGGCTTGCATTATTTTACGTGATATACGTTAAATACATACGATTGATTTAGCTCAAAACGTTACACATAGTAGAATTACAAGCTAACACGATTAGTAGTAATGCCTTATCAAATTATCGAAAGGTAATTGATTGTTATTGTATTTTATTTTTCATTAATATTGTCGATCCACTCGGTCGACGTTCGTAATAAACAATTTCATCATTCTAAGGTAGCATTATGAAAAACTCAAATGCCGAAATATGAGGAAAGGTGGGACTTTAATTACAAAACATCAATGCAATATAAACTTGGATTATTCGGTAAATAAAAACTAGCGTATTATAAGTGCATAGTGCATGTGTCAAGTGATGGGCAATATTAGTTAGTCGTGAGTGAATTTTGCAACAGTAGTTGTGTATCGTTTGTATGCATGGCGAGGAGGAGGGATTTGATCGCAGGTGATGATGGTGGTAGCGACGACGACGACGACGACGACGACGACGACGACGACGCCGACGACGACGACGACGACGATGATGATGATGATGATGATGATGATGATGATGATGATGATGATGATGGTGATGGTGATGGTGATGGTGATGATCGGCAGATAACCTGAGAAGGGTGCGGAGATACGGGTACTGTCTCTCGGCGTCGCTGGCCAGACTCGAGTGCTGGGAGAGGAGCGCCCTCAAAACGTCGGCCTTGACTTTGCGAGGTAGACTCTCGGGGAGCTCGCTCTTCCTAGGGAACTGGCGCCCGGTGAGGCAGCAGCTGGTGTACACGAGGAGAGCATTGCCCAGGTTTATACAGTCCCACGGTTGGGCGCTATCGACGTTGGCGAGGAGGTGCTTACCCAGGACGGGCACCAGCTGGTGAATCGGCGCGGTATAGTCGCATAAAGCTGCCGTTTGCAGATGAATCAGAGCCTCCCATAGGCCACGCTCGTTACAAATCGTCGTCACCTAGAGGAACGAAATTCGTTTTTTATTCTCACCCAACGTCTTTAGCAATTATCATTATTAAGTCAGATGAGTTTTAATACTCGAGAGACCGTCACGTTCGTAAAAATTACCTCTGCTCGCTTACTTTTAATCGACAAAACAATCTATCAAATTAAAGTGAATAATCGCTGATCGTTTTGCCACAATTACGTATAAGCAAAATTTTTGGTAAAAAACAAAACAATGTGCAAGTATTGTCGATGATCGAAATGCTAAAATAATTTACCAATTCTTCCTTCAATTCATTCGATCCAATTTTACGAATTATTCAAGGTAGTATTTACGATCCGTCGATAAGCCACAATTTTTAAACATCACGAAACGAGTTGCGGATACTTACTCGAAGATTTGTAAATGTTTTTTGTACGCACACGCGCGATTGGCACTTAAAATCTTAAAAATACATTTTTCTTTTTACACATTATATTCATTGGATGAGCCATACTCAGAGGCAGAGAAAATGAAAACATATTTCAACGTAATATTGTACGAGGAAAAGGGAATAGTCGTCGGTGATAATTGTGCTGATAAAACTATCGAATCGATCACTCATTGCTAATGTAAAAGTCCCAAGTATTTGAAAACGCTCGGTCACAGTGCCATGGTAATAATAAGGATGAGCGAGGATAACGGGACTCACTTGATGGATGTCGAGGCAGTCGACATGGAGCAAAATAATGATGGCCTGCAGGGACTCGAGCCTGTCCTCCCGATTGTAAAGGGCGACGAGTTGTTGGGCGACGAACGGTGGGAGCCGGGGAGGTAGGTTGGCTTCGAGGAGGGGCGACTCGAGTGCCCTCAGGTAGCCCGCCCGCAGGCTTTCCGACTCGTAAACGAGATCCCAGAGCTTGCCGAAGAGGAGGTCGACGCTCTCGAGCTGCACGCAGTACTCGACGCAAGTAGCGACGATCTCGAGCTCGACATTACTGCCCTCCGGGGAACTCGGCAGCTCGTCCATATACCTCACTAGCACCTGGCACACCTTATCCTGGACGATTTGCTTGCGTCGCTGCTTCGAGCCGTGCAGGCCGACCACGGCCTTGGCCTTGTCCCTGTAGAAGTCCAGGCCGAGTTCGAGCGCCTCGCGGAAGCGTTTCTGTGAATCGTATCAACAGGCGCCCGTTTATTATTTAATATTGGCCCGTTGGAGAAGACAATCGATTTGATGACGAATGGGCTATTCGTCCTTCGTTCGGAGGAAAACACGAGCCGAGGTGACATTTATCATTATAGTCGACGAGTGGGTGACTCTATTTTATAAAAAGACTATTTGTAATTGAATATCGATTAATACGAATTGCCGAGTTACCCTGAAAAATTTACATCTGCTTTCGAAAATACGATATTATTTAAACATCATTTTTTTTTGTTTTTCTTTCAATATTTAACTTAATAGTTAATGGCTTGAAGGCTTGTGAATTTCAAGAAACGAGCAATAGTAGACGTGGATAATTACAACTAAATTATATAAATCTCTCTATTATGAGTTGGAAAAATAACTTCGTGTCCATAATCTCGGCAAAGTGAATATTTTATGGTGGAGCCTAGTAATAAAAGAAATATTTACAAAATTTAAACCCAACGCGATCAATTAAGCAATTATCATTATCGCCTGTAATCTTAATTTGATGTTACTCATACTTTGGCTTTTCTACTTAACCCCACTAAAATGCACAATTATAGCTTGTGAGTTAAATAAATGCACACACCAAACGTTAATTTTTAATTAAAAACGTGACGTCAACTGTCCTTGTGTTTTGTTATGTTTGTTTATTTAATTATTGATTTATATCTTTTTTTTCTTTTTTTTTTTTTTTCATTACACAAGTTTACTTAAGCATGGATTGAAATCCACAGATATATTGGAACGAGCCAAATTCGAAGCACGCACCTCGGTCCTAAAATTTCCTTTTCATTAATTCGTTTCATGGCATTCTTCGTAATTTCCCCGCTAAAGCTTCGACTTGGCTAAGCTGTGACCAATGAAAATGCAAATCGTACGGGAGCGAGCCCGATGTTCCATACTCGGCGGCTCCCCTTTGCGTCCTCATTGCCGTACCTGCATCGTCAAGTAGCGCAATCGTTCGGTCCACGTCCTCACGCAAATGGCGTGCAAACTCTTCATGCCCAGGAGCAGGAGCTGCGATCCGAACGTTATGACTGTGTTATAGCAGGCCCGTTCCCCAGCCAGGGCCATCGCCTTTGACACGTTGCCCCCGGTCGACAGACCCTTAAAGTGGCTCGATGCGTAGGACAGTCCGACGTTGCTCACGTCGAGGATCTCGAGGTTCTCCTGCGTGCGCACGTCGAGCAGATGGAGTTTCTCGTGAATGTCCAGCACAGCCAATGACCTCGAGTTTAGCCAGCGCAAGTTGCTCATCGTGTAGGTTAAAATGATGCGTCGCAGGGGCGTCAGTCTAACTCGCATTCCAACTTCGCTGCATACCTTGACACGTGATCTTTCATTGTTTCACACTTCATTTACTTAGTTTTGTACAAGAATTTTGTCGATTCGCGTTTGGTTATTTACAGTGAACTTTAACAGTTAAGACTTTAATGCTTCTTTATCTGTGCTTTATCGATAAGAGGCACATTCGCAGGGTAGTGATGCAGGAACTTACTTGGTAGAAATGTATAACGTTGTCACGTCCAAGAGCTAGGACGGGATCGATTATCCTCGTGGCATCAACGGAACGAATAACGACCAATTGCCAAGCAACCTGCGGTGGTGCTATCGCAGCGCCGTTTAATGGATGAGTTAGAACGACGCGCATTCTAGGCCTTATGCAGACAACGATAACTTTGGATAGGGTAGCCATTGCAACCAGCGTGTAGTTTTTCAGTGGATGTATGGCTAGTTCGTCTAAAAGTAGGGGTTCGAGACTGCAAACTTCACCTCGAGAGCCACTGAATAGGCATTTACTCTCGCAGCCTCTTACGCCTATTGTTCTTGTGAAAGTCAGTTCAAACACGGAGCCACCACTGTCGCTGCATAGAGCCAATTTTGGAGAATCTGTAAACTGAACGGTAAGACTCAGTACATGGACAATGATGTGCGAATGACTGAATTTAAGCGTCTCTCGTTTACTTATTTCACTATTGCCTTTTTAATGAAAAATGTTTTGTTTCATTTTAGTTGGCATTGATGTGCCATAATGATAAATACGCACAGGTTAAGTTGGCCAAATTGCACTTATTGTTACAAACAATTGGATCTTAATTAGCCGAAGAAATTGAATTGCCATTGTTACATAGAATTACCTTAACGTGAAGAACAGCGGTTCCCGGTGGATGAACGTCGGTTAACGTTCTTAGTATTTTGCCATTGGAACTGTCGATCATAAGAATGTAGCCTTTGGCAAAACCAGCAAGAATTCTAGTCCCGTCGTGATTGAAGCAAAGAGCCGAAACGGATCCTTGATGCCTTGTATCGCGATGACACCATTTTAGTGTTTGAGCGGAATCGAAATCCAGTATAAGACCGTGACTAGTACCGATTGCCATCATATTGCCACCTGCTGCCACTGCACTGGCAAGCCCGGCGTTTATTTTGTCCTAAGTTAATATTTCAAGTAGCTGAATAATTTTACATAAACTTGGGAGTAAATGTTACATTGATATACTTTAACGCTACTACGCATTATGGTTGGTAGTACTTTTACATTTTCAATTGAAAGATTTTTATCGAGTACGTATTCCGTGGTTTCTTACACTGGCAGAGGCAATTTGAGCACAAATTCCCTTTAGAATCACGTGACGAAGAATGATGCTTGACAAAACTGGTTGACGAGACTTTGGTCTACTCGGCGAATTAAGGGACAATAAACTGCCCACGCTGACGGTCTCGCTAGTCGACAATTTCTCCAAAGAAACCAGACCTGTGTCGTCATCTGTCCCAGACAGCGAGCCACAATCAGGCTCTGCGAGTATGCTCTCCAAGGACGGCAACTTGTCAACTGCAGGAATGGCATATTCGACATCATCCAGCTGCAAAGTCATTAACACTTATAATCAAACTGCAAATACGACAATATAGACTATCGATGATACTTTAAGGTGTATTCGTTGGGTGTGCCACGCTAATCTCAACAATGACAATTACATTGAAAAATGAAAAAGTATTAGAAAATAAATGATTGATTACCTCCTCGATTTCCAAATTTATTACATCAGCTGTTAGATTCTCCTGGGAACCGACTTCCGAATTCGAACCGTTTTCTTCAGCCATTTTCGCCCAACGGCTCGATTCTCCTCTCCTTCTTTTACGAATTACCGTAATCGCACTTACAGCTAAGCATAATGAAAGATATGCAAAAGCCAAGTGGCATCAACTAGGATATCGCCCTTACTGCGTTTACTAATTTTATTCGACACCTTGTAAGTTCGATTCGACAACCTTACGTACATACATAGTGAAAAACACACACGCATACACCAACTGATATGTAAGTAGGGGGTGGACCGGTGCACGATAAACAGATAAAGTTACACAGAATTTTATTAATTTTCGCGTTTGCTCGGTCACTACGTATCTCACCACGTACACGCACTCGTTACATGCATTTTCGAAGAACGATAAACCATTCGTAATAATAATACGATCGCTTCGGGGCTCTTACCCACCCACCAAATCAACATAAAAACATACGACTATATAATTAATACACCTACGCGCGCAACGCAACTGACTGTGTGTTAGTGCGCGAGCGCGTTACGTTTGGAATAGGAAGGGTGACGTACGACGCATGCGTATTGCTGAATTTGGGCGGCAAATTTTAGCGTATTTTAAATGCTGTATTGCGGTGACGATAGAGGGAGAATGGCGGAATTAAATAAATACTCGTGTACGTAGAGCGTTAATAATTTATTAACGAAAGCTGTAATTTAATCGGGGGCCCATTACAATACGCGGCACAGTTGTCGCGCAAATCGTTTGTCCTTCGCTAACACCGTTGCTAGTTGCTTTATCTCGCTCGCGCATTCCCCCACTCGACCACCGACTCCAAACGGCAATTGGCTCTTAAATACTAATTCCCGGAAACAAGAAACATATTCGCCACGGAAAGGTATTGGCTTTTTCACATTTTCGATAAAAATGCCGAGGTAATATCGGACGAATATAGGAAGGTAAACGTTTAATCAAGACGAATCTTATAGCGTTGGGACTTAATTGAGCAGACACGACGACTGAAAGCTCTTCCTTCACCACCACCACCCCCCGCCGCCCACCGCACGCGCGCGCACGCACACACACACACGCGCGCACACACACACACACACATATGCCAATTGGCTATTAATTAATTGACCATTCATTGGACAAAATTTTTATAAGAATTCACGAGGAGGGGTCCGCATGAATTACTTTGTCGCTGTGAACCAATACCAAAAGTATGGAAATATGAAACAGCGAAGGTAAATTGCTCGATGCAAGTAAATTCTTAAATTATCGTGCGGAGGAATACATCTGTGTATTTTCATTATAAACTTGGAAATGTTGGAATTGATAAATGAATACAATTTATAGCGCGTAAACTCGAGAGTAAAATCAACGGTATTATTAGATATTTTGTGACGTTATCTATAATTTATCGATCGATTTTCATAAATGCATGCGAGGTGACCGTGTGGCGGGGGGGCGGGGGGCGGGGGAGGAGAGCTAAATTATAAAAATTAATTAACGACATTTTCACGAAATATAGACGAAAACATAAAGAATTGTTGCCGAATATCCAGTCAAACGACCTATGGAATAATAGAATTGACAAAACAGACATTTTCACGGATTTTTGCTAGAAGCTACGACAGAAACCGTAAAAATAATTTAGGATAATGGTCGAACATATAAAACCCGAGCTCTCGCCAAAAAATGCGAATTAATTATTAAAAAAGAAAATTCTATTATTTTAAAGTCAATCTAAGTGATTGTGTTCGCCTAAGTTCTGAAGCTGTAAATCGAATGAAGATTGCCAATGTACTTCAGACAATCTTAGAATTTGAACATTTTACCCAAATAATTTATTAAATCGAAGCGAACATTTTATTAATATATAGTCGCCACTACGCGTTATTCAATTAATATTAATAAAACACACATACAAACAGAAATAGTCGTATTTCTATTGAATTTCTATCTTTCAATCTTTACTAACAAAGCCAACGGCGGCTTTTAATTCTTATGCTTTTGAGCTTTAATTTAAATTTGTAAGGACATTTTTTACGTCCTTTACAAAACTACACGAATATCACAGATTTCTACTGCAATTAAGCGTAATTAAAGTCACTACGGCAATCCACCACCTTTTTCATATTTTCCGTAAGAAACAACCTGTTCGGATAACATAAGAGAATAACAAATTTATTAAAAAATCCTTATTACAAATTAAACGGATTCGACCTCAGTCCAGAGTTTTTACTATGCGAGAACGATGTACTCACATGTGCAACGTATGGATAATTACATTTAAAAGTATTTCTACTAACGAAACTCAAATACGCTCACTGATAATCATTGCCATTAAAAATATATTCACCAATAATGTACAACGATAATGTTAAGATATTTTCCAAAGCCAATTCATTTAAGGATACTATTAGGAGGCCCAACATACTCTTGTCTTTTGACTTTTTTTTTTTTTACATTTTCTTTCCACCAATGTCACTCGAAACCAATTAATAGACGTGCAAATTTCAATTTCACTTTCTAAATAGTGCGATATAACATAAAGAAGCGTTAAACGAATACTTTCTTCTAACTATCGATAAAATTTTAATTCTTACAAATATTTTACGGTTAATCATATCAAGTTTAAGACGTAGAAGATTGTTACGCTTATATTGTGTGGATATTAATAATGCTAATAAGTATAGGTACAAGGAAGGAAATAACAAATAAAAAAAAAAAAAAAATATTTATAAAACATTCTAGCTGAATCGCAAGGACGAAAGGAGCGATAGCGTTGTAAGAACATTTTTTAATTGATCATGTTATTGACAATTAGTCACAAAGCAACAATTTAATTAACATGTATTAGACCTTTTCATGTTAATACGTAAATATCCGAAAAAGTAAATAAAACATTTAAAAAAAAAAACAAAAAAAAGGTAATAAATAATAAGAAAAAGTTGGCAAAAAGTCAACGTTACGCGGGGTTCCCAAGCGGTCACCCATCCAAGTACTAACCGCGCCCAATGCTGCTTAACTTTGGTGATCGGACGAGAACCAGTGCTTTACAGCATGGTATGAACGTTAACACTAACACTATTAAGGAATAAGGATAAAAGGTGAAAAGTACTTTCAATTTTTCCACGCAACACTATCGCATTCCCATGTATTGGTTGCTCCGCATTTTGTTCCAATTACCAGCCACCGTTTGGTGTGGTTGTGGGTAGTTTTGATGTGATAGGTATGGGTGAGGTGGTAGTTCGAGTAGATGGGAATGTGATATTGTGATCGTTAACGTTCATACCATGCTGTAAAGCACTGGTTCTCGTCCGATCACCAAAGTTAAGCAGCATTGGGCGCGGTTAGTACTTGGATGGGTGACCGCTTGGGAACCCCGCGTAACGTTGACTTTTTGCCAACTTTTTCTTATTATTTATTACCTTTTTTTTGTTTTTTTGTCTTTACTTATTAATTTAATATAATATACAGTAATATTGCATAGTTCCTTTATTTCATATTAAAGTTGATGAGTTACGAGAGATAATATTTTTGAACTAATGTTAATATTAAATATAAGCATAAATAATTTTACAAATTTTTTTATTAATTATAATACAAAAATGGCTAATGATTAAATATGCTTTATATGGGAAAGAAAACTATAAATTTTAAAATAACATACATCCATATACTGAACGCGAGTATAAGTAAACTTTACTTACAATTATCTAATAAAACTTTCCATCTCTTCTTAAATATTGAAATGCCTATAACCGGTGGCTAGGTATTTGAAAAATATAATTGATAAAGTAGATAGTAATGATGATGACATAATAATTTTGAATATTGTAATATGAAAACAAAATGTTGTCATTTTTTTTTTTTTTTTAAGAAAAATAATATAGAGATTAAAGTATTGTGACAATAAGTTAAGATAATATTGGAAAATGCACAATTATTTATATTAAAATTGTAAAGTACATTAAGTTGATATTATGAATCGAAGTTATATTGTTAAGTAGTTGTTTATATGCTCTAGATATAAATGCCGATTGTAGGTACAACGATTGTTTATAAATCAAAGTGACAAAGTAGATTATCAGCGTGTGAAAAGATAATGTTTATTAACGGTTTTAAATCATTTGAAAGATAATTATAATCCAATGTTCCAATTCCAATTGTTCCTTCATGATTTTTTAATATAAAAAATCCTTAATATTTATATAATATTCTTGTTTTATTGAGACTCACAAACAATAAATTATACAAGATATTATTAATATTATTCTCCTCACATTTTTGCACATACGTTTATTAATGCTCTATTATTACGTTTCTTAACGTCTCGATAAAAATAATCCGTTACTTGTCTAATAGTTTCTTTAATAGGATCGTTACATTCAATATAAATGAAGTGTAGGTATCGTAGACAATTAGAAAGAAAATTTATCGCTAAATGCTGCAATACTTTAGGTTTTAAATAAGATTTCTTAATATATTGAATAAGTAACTGCAAAGTAGTATAAGTGAATTAAAAACATAACAAAAATAGTATAACATTACTTATAGAATTTCATTTCAACTAATTATTTATCACACAAATGATCGAAGTAATTTAAAGTAAAATAAGGACACTCTTTTAATCCAATCTCTGCTAATTTATTAATGAGCGCTTTACGAAGAAAATAAACGCCAATTGTAAGAATATTGTGTCATAACAAAAAAATTATTTTTCATTCGCAAGCAAATGTAATACATTTATACAAATAAATAATTAAATACACATAAATATATGATTTACCATGGATTTACGCGATGCCGTTGGTACGTAAAATAGTTCACAATTTCGCAAATATTACCATTAGGCGATTGAATTTATACGGTCGTCGCAAGTCCTTGTAACAACAACGAAATAAAAACTTGAAAATTCCAAAATAGTGGGAACGATTGTTTTATCAAGCTTAACCGCTTTACATAGCCAACAGACTTCTATACAAAAGTTTAGTTAAATGCTTCATTAATTGTATAATAAATAATATGACGTATTAGCGAATGAATAATTTTATTTTATTTATAGCGTTTTATACTAATTTCATTGGTACAATAATTCTCTCATGGAGATTCGTATTCCAATGTATAATGAATGTTATTAGAAACAGAAATTATAAAATTTTGTCAGACACCAAAAAATTTTTTTTTTTTTTTTTGTTTTTTTGTTTGTTTGTTTTTTTTTACTATTCGTGAAATCGTATTCTGACTATCTAAAATCTTTAAATTAATAGTCAATTGATGATAGCCTCTTGATAATACACTGTCGAGTTTATTGCTCTTATAACTCACAAGATATCGTCATATCGAAAAAAATTCATATACGTCGCGTATGCATTATTATCATAGGTAATTGTAATAAAGAAAGTGAGTGAGTGAGAGAATG